TCAAACCATACATTGTCTCCTTTGTCGCATAAATATCTACCTTTAATATATATAGATATAGATGTATACATATATGTGAAAAAAGTCCATTATGCCCCTTCCTTAAAATGACAAAACCGGGAGAAGTTCCCGAATCGAAAATCGTCCCGACCTCAAAAAAATTTAAAAATGACACCACCACCTCTAAATGACTTAAAATGATTAAAAATACATCTTTAGAACCCTCGGCTCGAGAAAATGACTAAAACACCCTTCAGCGCCCGCGTGACATGCAAAACGAGGTACTTAAATTAAATAAATTCAGAAAATTCGAAAAACTCACGAAAATGGAAAAATAGAAAAATGAGAAACTTTACAAAGGTGGAGATTGTTAGAATGTGGCTCAAATTCCTTGTTCCAATGTTGTTTAAGAAGAATTGGATCGTCCAACTTCCGCGGACCAGTCCAATGTGTTTGTAGATGAAGATTATATTTTGGAAAATTTGGACCATACCAATTTTCCATGGATCAGTCGACTAACATATTTGATATGTGTGAGAATGAGTTTTATGAGAAAACATGTTTTATTAGATAGCTCAGGAATGAGTTTAACTGAAGAGATCTCAACTAAGAATGTAGCAAGTCACAATCAATAACGCAATAAAACAAAATCTTGAGATACGACATAGAAAGGGATGAATAGGTTAATTCCCAATTCTGGCCTAATTTAAAATTCACACAATATTTTATTCAATATTACGCGAAAGTGAATATAACAATTCGATATATTGATTCTGATACCAATTGGTGAATTTTATAACCTCTTTATTCAATTATCAATTCTATATGTTTAACCCCAAACAAATAAAATCAGGCTTAAACAAATTAAATCTTTAGATATAGGTGGCCAAGGAAAGACAACCCTAAACAAACTAAACTTGATAAAATAAAAAATTAATATTCAACCCCTAAATAAATTTACCAATCAGAGTGGTTAATTATATCTGGTTAATTACGTAGACACTTAAACACATGTGCATATTGATTCAATCACGATTAACAACAAAGCATACGTCAATTACACATATCATATGAAGCAATTAACAAGTGCATAAAAATAAAAGAGTGTAGAAACTTGCACACTAGATATACGTGAAAAAATCTACCCTAAATGGTAGACAAAAAAATCACGACGCTTGGCTCAGCCAGGAAATTCACCATAAAGAAATAGAATACAACTATTCCAGTTGAACACTACCAACCTACCTCCAGACTCAACAAAACAACAAATCTTCAATGCCTGTTCACTACAATTGATTATTTCACGACTAGTTTCAATCCAATTTCTCTACTAGACGTACTGCAAAAGATATCTTTAGTTGTCCTCTAATCGATCTATCGAACAACTACATAATCCCATTGATCCACATCAATCCCACCATGTATTGTTTCTTCACCTTAGAATCATTTCGTCAACCAATCTATCCACCACTTTTGGATTTGGTTTTGATTTGGCCTGTAGCACTTTGTGACTTTGTGTTGACGTTGACCTTTCAGCTCGTATCACAACAATAATATTAACACAATGAAAACATCATAATCACCATATCTAATGCAAGATGATATACATGAATGATGCACGATTAAAATAACACAAAATAATAATATCAAGTGTAATGCCCTCAATTATCACAGATAATCTCTCACACAAATTCTCTTATGAATACACACAAGTAGAACTCTCACACACAACACGTATGGATTAATAAATAAATAAAGAATGTTTATTGCAATAAATTAAACACTTTAGGGCTATTGACACAAGAAGCACGACTTGGACACACAGTCTACATACATTTTCAAACCTTGTATATATATAGAACATTACTTGGTCCCCACTTCTATGATCTTGGTCTCCAAGTTGAGAACTTACTTTCTAAGTAAATAAAATAAAATAAAAAGACAAATCTAAAATAAATTAATTTAGGGTCTTTTATATAGAAAAATATTTTATATTTGACCTATAAAAACTGTTATGACAAACGTAGTGAACCAAGTAACAATTACGAAACATGACAGAAAAATAAACACACCACACAAAGAACACAAATATTTATACTTGGTTCGGCAAAACCTACATCCACAATAGAAATCCAGCGAAAGTCTTCACTTTGTGTAAACTCGGAGATTAATTTCAACCCCTCACTCTCAATTTTGTATGAATTTCAATGTCTCTCACACAACCCACTCCAAACCCTAATCATTTTTATATATTTGTGTAACGACCCGAACCCGAGGGTCCGAATCGCTAACCGGGTCCTTCCCTGAACCCGAGGTCAATTAAAAACGTTACCATCCTTTCCTATATCAATACATAATATACGTGTCATCCCAGTGTTTATAAATAATAATAATAATAAAATGAGATCATAGCTACAAAATGTGTCAAATAGTCCACTAACCCATCAAAACCTGTGGAGGAACGTCGTCCGCTATTTCCTTCCTGTGACTTAAAAAATGTTAAAATGATAGGGTGAGCTAAACGCTCAGTAGGAAGTGTCTAAGACACACCTCTTATGACCCCGTGAATCCACATAGAGCATAGAAAGCAAGAGAGCAGGATCATATCTCGGGAGTCAAGTAAAACCACTGCATCATCAACAAACATACATATCTCAACCAATTACCAAATGCACCACATATGCCAATGATGTGCCATGCCATGCCATGCAATATCACTTCCCGTTTCCGAAACCATACCATTTCAACTACCAAACCGTTAGTGTAATCCGACCCAGGCACCTCCAAGGCATCACGAAAGGGGGATTGGTTAACCATCCACGACCACAAGGCACCTCCAAGGCGTTGCATCCAGCTTGGTTAGCTCAACCACACTAGGGTCTCTCCCTAGTCCCCTCTTTAGACCACACTAACACCACGAACCACTAGGCGCCTCCTAGGCTTCCGGGTTTTTCACAAACATTTTTCAAAAAACTTTTCCCCAAAACAATTTCATTAGTTTTTTTTTAAAAAAATACTTTTCCCCTTTTTCTTTCCCAATGGATGCATGAATGCTTCATACTTCACAATTTACCATAATTTTCACATCATCAAACCTTAACAACATTCTATACTAAAGAATAAATTTCTCATGACTTTATAGCATGCTTTCAGTCAACAAAATTTCTACAATTACACATATTAAACAAAGATATAATCACAAAAGCATGCTTTCCATATCCAATCAACAAATCATACACACATATATTATTTATACATAACACACATAAAGATACACATCATATATCTAGCATCATAGCAATTTCTCAAGAAAAATTTATAATAAATCCCATACATTCCATCTACATCATGGTCATGATCACATTATTAAGGGAAATCCTAACATTTATTTTCATAATTTCAACATCACTTTTCTTAACAATTAAAAATCATGGGGAACCTAAGATGTCAATACTAAGCATGTATCATCACCACTAAGTATACAATCATAATCATTGGTTCAATTAACATATATAATACATCCATCACCTTAATTACCTACAACCACAACAACATAGGTAAAATTGCTAAAATCAAACATGCTTAGAATCAAATTAAAAGGGAAAACTCACAAAAGATCAAAGAAAATATGAATTAGAGCACCCTACCTCTTAATTGTAGAAAAGCCCCAAAATCCCCAAAGTGAGCCACAAATTCGAAATCTCTAAAGTGCACCAAAACTGAAATTGCTTACACCCACTTGAAGATCTCGCCAAGCTCTTCGATTTGCAGCAAACGGCACCAAAAAATTCCCAATGATGAAGGAGAAATCAAGACTTTAGTGTTAAAAAAAGGGGGGGAGGGGGGGGGTGGAGAGAGAAAACGTAACAGCAGAGAGAGAATATGGTTTGTAAAATGATCTCATTTTAATGAATAAAAATGCATGCGGGTCCCACGGCCTAATTATAATAATATTTAACGTTATTTCTTTTATATATATATATATATATATATATATATATATATATATATATATATATATATGTGTGTGTGTGTCATAAACATTACAATTGGGCTACAAGAGAATAATAATTGGTGAGCTTAGGCCAACACAAAACTCAACAAACGGGTTGACTGGTTGCGTTACCAAAATCGGGTCACTACATCACAAAAACATTATTAAACATCAAGCAAACTCAATTAGGAAAGAAAGTTCCGAGTTAAAAAATGTCCTGTCAACCTAAATGTGTAAGGTGTCAATCCATCAAAGCTTCATTAAGTTCGTTAGACTTTTCACAGCATAAATAAAACAACATTGCCCAATTGATATAACCTTACATTTAATTTACATATGTTGTGCATCAGAATGAATAACATCAACATCAAGCGCAACAGAATTCCACCCTACCCAAATCTTCCCACCATAATGAGAATCATAATTAGCTTTCCAATTCCAAGTATGATTAATCTTCTTAGCAACGGAAACATGATATGAACCGATGTAGTTAGAGATTAATTAATTTTATGGCTTCGAGAAAAGGTGAACAATAAGTGAAACAAAGTTACATTTTTAAACTTTAAAAGGCATATCTGAGTTCAAAATGATTCTGTATATATAAAGACAAGGATTTGTAAAGAGATTTGTAAAAGACCATGAAGCAGAGGAGTCACTTCCTAATTCCAAAATACAGCTTCTTAAAAATAGAAATATGTGCCACCACTTCTATTTCATTGCACTCTTTTAGTTTTAAATAAAGTGTACAGATTAGCTGCGCTTAAGTTTCACATGCTTGGTTGTAGATATCTGAATTAAATCTCAACCTTAGGTTGCTCTAATATATGTAACTCTATGGCCTCAACTTACATGCTGTATATGTTGTAAAGCAGCTTTGTTTAAATAGAAAGCCTAGAATATTTTCAAGCGGTTCAATTTTATTATTAATTTTTGGTAAATTGTTTTATTATTTATTACTATATACTTGGAAAAAAAGGTTTGTTAGTAATTTTGTATTACTTTATAGGTAAAATTCCACAACAGCTGGGAAATCTTCATAGATTGGAGACACTTACGATTGAGAGTGCTGGCCTCACTGGTACCATACCATCTTTTGTCTTTAACATTTCTTCTTTGAAATGGCTTTCTCTCCATAGCAATAACTTTACTGGTAGGCTGCCACGGGGTATGCACTGGCATCTTCCTATGCTTGAGATAGTTCATCTTGGCGGAAATGAACTGTATGGAAGCATTCCAAAAGAAATTGGAAACTCTACTTCACTGATGAATTTAAATCTACAGAAGAACAGTTTGACAGGTACCCTCTTAGTTGTCAAGCATACAACTTTCTTTTAAATAACTTCTATATATATATTTTTTTCTTTCTCAATGAATGGGAGCTTATTAGAGTATCTTCTCAAAAACTTTACCATGTAAGATCGCCAACACAGAGAAAGATGTATAACTTGCTAAAATGTGCATAAGAGAACTGGTAATCATTACAATCTGTAGATGCCAACAATTTACTTGTTTGTGTGTGTTATAATACATTTTAATTTGCAGGTGCAATACCACAAGAGATTGGAAACCTTTGTGATCTGGACTTCTTTGTTTTATATTCGAATAGCTTAAAAGGTCCGATTCCAGAAACAATCTTCAACTTGTCGAAACTACGAATCCTTGGATTGACAGAAAATCATCTTTCAGGCAAACTTCCATCAAGTATTAGGCTACCCAATATTGAAGAATTATCCCTTTTTGGAAATAACCTCAAGGGAATTATTCCTTACTCTATCTCAAATCTTTCAAAACTCACTGATTTAGATCTTTCCTATAATAATTTCAGTCATTCAATTCCAAATTCACTTGGTAACTTAGGACTCCTCGAATTTCTAAACCTAGCAGGAAACAATTTCATCAGGGGATCTTCAAACCTAGAATTGAGCTTTATCACTGCCTTGACAAATTGTAGACGTTTAAACACATTATGGATAAATGGAAATCCTCTGAATGGCATCCTTCCAGTATCCATTGGAAATTTCTCCACTTCGCTTCAAGATATTTGGGCAAGTAATTGTGAAATTAAGGGCAGCATTCCCAACCATATTGGTAACTTGAGCAATTTGGCTTTCTTACGTCTACAACGTAATGGCTTCACTGGATCTATTCCAATGATAGGGAAACAGTTGCAAAGACTTCAAGTTTTAGATCTTCAAATTAACAGGATACAAGGGCCCATTCCAAATGATCTTTGCCACTTACATAACTTGGGTTCATTAGCTCTAAGTGAGAATGAACTTTTTGGTCCAATTCCAAGTTGCTTAGGGAATGTTACATCTCTAAGAGAACTTTTTCTGGGTTCCAACAAATTAAACTCCACAGTACCCATAAATTTGTTCAGCCTAAAAGATATTTTGTATTTGGACTTGTCCTTAAATTCTTTAAGTGGCAATCTTCCCTCAGAGATTGGAGCTTTAAAGGTTGTAATAAAAATAGATCTATCAGTAAATAACTTTTCAGGTGATATCCCTAGCACAATAGGAGGTATGCAGAGCTTAATCAATTTTTCTTTGGCACATAATAGACTACAAGGACCTATTCCTGAGTCATTTGGAGACTTGATAAGCTTGCAATCCTTGGATCTATCTTACAACAATCTCTCAAGCACAATTCCAAATTCAATGGTGTCACTTTTGCATCTTCAGAATTTCAATGCATCTTTCAATAGGCTAAGAGGAGAAATCCCCACCGGAGGACCATTTGCGAACTTCACAAATCAATCATTCATGTCAAATGAAGCACTATGTGGTGCCCCGCAATTTCAAGTCCCACCATGTCGTTCAAGCTCTCTTCACAGTTCAAGGAAAAAAAGAGTGTTGCTAGTTTTTTACATTTTGTTGCCAATTGTTCTAATTGCTTTGACTTTCACGTTTGTATCAATAAGATGCCAAAAGAGAAATAGAACGTCAATTGAAACGGAGTTGTCACCCACTTTAGCACACGAGAGAATTTCATACCAAGAACTTCTACGTGCTACTAATGGTTTTAGTGACAGCAACTTGCTTGGAACAGGAAGTTTTGGTTCTGTTTATAGAGGGACAACTACAGATGGGACCATTCTAGCAATCAAGGTATTCAATTTGCAACTAGAAGCTGCATCCAAGAGTTTCGACACAGAATGTGAAATGTTGCGCAACATTCGTCACAGAAATCTCACCAAAGTTATCAGCAGTTGCTCCAACCTAGATTTCAGAGCCTTGGTACTCCAATACATGCCTAATGGGAGTCTTGAAAAGTGGTTGTATTCTCATAACTATTTCTTGAATATCATTCAGAGATTAGATATAATGATAGATGTGGCATGTGCATTGGGTTACCTCCACCATGGTTATTCAATACCATTGGTTCACTGTGATTTGAAGCCTAATAATGTCCTTCTAGATGAAGATATGGTCGCACATGTTAGTGACTTCGGAATTTCAAAGTTCTTGGATGAGGGGGAAAGTATTGCGCACACCAAGACTCTCGCTACTTTGGGATATATAGCACCAGGTAAAACTTTTAACTTCATTTTTCATTCAAATCTTACTTTAGGTTTTCTTTCTTTTTCTCTTGTAAGTATTTTAAGTTTTCCTTTTATCGTAACATAATTTTTAATTGGTGTTTTATTATCCTTCTACATGTGAATTCTTTTGATTAATTCTGACGTTGGACATAGAGTATGGATTGGAAGGACTAGTATCCACAAGATCCGATGTTTACAGTTACGGTATTATGTTAATGGAGACATTTACAAGGATTAAGCCCACTGATGATATGTTTGTTCGAGATTTAAGCTTGAAGCTATGGGTAAGTGAGTCACTACCTAATGCGATAATTCAAGTTATAGATCCCAACTTGCTCATACCAGAAGAAGGACAAATCAATGCAAAGGTGTTGTGTGTATCATCCATCATGGAAGTGGCTCTAAATTGCTGTGCAGAACAACCACAGGAGAGGATCAATATGGAAGAAGCCCTGGTAACACTAAAGAGGATCAAACATAAGTTTCTTGCAACTGGGAAAGGCGAGAAACATAAAGGTATCTATTTTATATTACTTATAATTGTGAATATAATTTAGTAAGGCTTTTTTGGAACTTTACCTCATCTTAACAGGGCATTTCTTTCCAAATATTTCTTTAATAAATTAATTTATATAATTAACTTCCAAACCATAGGAAGATGTTGTAATTTTATCTTAGTATGTGCCACTTGTATTAAGTTTCTAACTTCTATTTGTCCAAGAATGCATATATCAAGGATAATAAGTAAAACAAAACAAAAAATCAGACATAATGTGCTGATAGTGTAATTTTATTGCAACAGATTGCATTGCTTTGAAAGGTGAAAGTGTTGGTAGCTCTTCTCGTCCATGATATGAGAACTTCGTCGCAAAGGAAGTTTCCTCAAATTGAAATTAAGGTGGATTGCTTGTCACCTATAGAGACACATATATGTTGTTTATTTTTCATTTAAAAATAAAAAATAAAAATGGATATTTTGGTGTTGTCTTTCAGATTGTTTTTTTCTTTTCTTTTTTAAAATCTTTTCTATCTGGCAAGGGGGGATGGGGTGTGTTGAAACTGGCTCCCACACGACTTGGGAAGTGCTTCTACCAACTGGACTACCCAGCTCACCCCAATTGTCAATCAGATTGTCAGGTCATTCAATCGATCATCTTTGAGATCTAGTGATCATGTATTGTTTCGCAGTTTCTAGTATCATGTATGTTTTCATGTTTCATGGTACCTATACACAATATTTTTTTTATTATGACTTGCTCATCTTTTGTAACAACATCGTAAAATGAAATAAAATATGTGAAAATGGATTAAATAATGATTAATGCAGTGTTAAATCACATATCATGTTTGTAATAACCCTCGTAGTTTTAGGTTACCTCATAAATACACATTATTATAGCTCCTTGAGGTTTTATTGTGTGATTTAGTTCTTATTATAATTTAAAACCTTTGACTGAATTTCTAAAGGAAAACAAAATCTAGTGGCCTAAATTTTATAGAAAAATTTCATTTGTTGCCCACTTTACAACAAAAATGTTGCAATGCATCTCATTGGAAATGTGCCCAGTGGACAATCCCTCCTTTTGCACAAATCAGTGGATTTGAAATTATGGGCATTGGGCTTGAACGAAAACATGATAATTGATATTGGAATATTAAAAACAAAAGTTATGTGATTTTTGTTTATGAATATGGAAGTAATATATTTTTTTTACTTTTTTATTTTTTTTAAGGAGATTTAAATTCTCAACCTTATACTTTAGAAGATGGGAAAGTATTATTAGACTACAAACTATGGTGATTAGAATCACATTTAAAGTCCATGCATATAATCCTCTCAAGTCAAATGTATGTCATGAAAACTTAAATCTAAATCATTTAATCTAATTTCAAGGTATATTACTCAAATAATTGAACTTAAAATCCATTCATGTCAAGTACTTTATTTAAAATGGAGCCTAGCTGATCCATGGGTTTGACCTGTTCAGTGTACAATTATAAGGGGCATTCAGGAAATTTAAATTGGAATGCGAAATTATATGCACATGCATCCTGGGAATCTGAGTAGGATTATTATTATATTTTTAATTCCAATGTCAAAGCCTTCTCAAATTTTATTTTTATGTTTTTTTTCCTGATAATTAAGTGATGCATAGATAACTCAGAAAAATTACATATGTATACAAGCAGCATGCCGAGGAGCCCGATCCAGACAAACAAGAAAATTAAAACCCAAAAAAAATCGAACAAAAAGCCTAAAAGAAAATTACAATTTTAATCCATATTGTCCAAAGTTTGGCCCAATCGGATATCAGTTAGTTCTCAAGCCCAATTCATAAACATAAAATTCCATCAACAAACTCATAAAAATTCTCTATACTGGTGGTGGTGGTTTGGCTATGGTGGATGCAATTGAGGAGATGGTGGTGATGGTGGTGGTGCATTTGGAAAGGTGAAGAAAGGGGTTTTTTTATTTATTTATTTTTTTTTGGGAAAAAAGAGTCAATATAGGAATTTGGAGTTTATTACTAGAAAAAGTGTTCCACTTGCGGAAGTAAATCTGAAAGCAAGTTTTATAGGCTTCTGAGTTTCCAAACACTCGTCATTATTGGCAAAGGACATTTTGAGCCTGGAAGCCCGTTTTAAGCCTAAAGAAAGCCCATCCAAACAGGCAATTTCCAACATAATATGTTCAAACCATTGCTCTTGAGTATACCAATTAATGAAACAAAATATATAAATGTTTAAAATTGGAAAGTACAACTTTGAATCCATAAAATATTAGGCAAAGAGAACTCTGAAACATTATTGATGATTGACTATATTCTACCTTGTTATAAATAAATAAATACTCTACTACGACTTGTATTTATATATGATAAAATTTCAGACTTTATTATCATCTACAACAACACACACACACAAAGTGTCTTACCCAAAATGGAAAAAATTATGATCATGAGTGTTGTTCAATCACATCTCATGTTTGTAATAACTAAGAAAGTTTACAATACTCTATAGGTATTTACAGGTGGTACCAAGTCCAATGCAGAGTTAAGAAAATTCTCAATTTGCCTTGATACACACAAAGATGGATGGTTTTAAGAAAAAAATATTATCGTTCATTAAATGGAATACAACATGTTCAATACCGTGGGTATTGTATAATTCCACGTAATAACTCCGAGGCTTCCATGTTATCTCTTTAGTATGATTTTTTTTTTAGCTCCTCATGATTTTAGTGTGCAATCTAGTTGCTCAAATTTCCAAACAAAAACAAAATTGTGATATCCAATATTTTTAAAAAAATTCAAACCGAATCGAAAGCTAAAATATATTCATACTAACTTTACATTCCCCTGTTGCTCCTTCAAATACTGTTTTGAATTACTAGGGAAAAAACAAAACAAAAATGCTTTATATATATATATATATCACCACTGATCAATCTGCTCTTCTTGCCATGAAATCCCATATCACTTTCGACCCTAGCTCACAACTTGTTTGCCAACAACTGGACCATCTCAACCTCCCCTTGCAACTGGATTGGTGTCCACTAATGCAGCACAACCCCACCACAGAGTTTCAATCTTAAACCTTTCTGACATGGGCCTAAGGTTTACTTATGTTAATTTCCTTTTGAGATTAGATTTACTTATGTTCTAAGCTGGTTTTCTATTGTATTTAATTTTCTTATGATTAAGAGTTTTCTTTTATTATAAATACAAATCACAGCTTACTGTCACACCCCGCTACCAAGAGGCTATGCCACGCAGGCGCCACGCAGACGCCCAGCAGACGATGACATGGAGCCTGCATGGATTGGAGCTTTCTAGACTTCTCTACACAAGTATGGAACTTTCCGGAATTCTCTAGATTAGTGTGGAGTTGTCTAGCCTTTTCTAGACTTGTCTAGAGTTGTATAGAATTCTCTAGAATTCTCTAGACTTGTCTTGTACATAGTAGATAGTTCTAGAGTTGTGTAGATATTTCTGGAGGATTCTAGACACTAAATCTAGGCCACACATTTGTACACATCTAGAATGTTCTTGTAAGGCCAAAGGCCTATAAATAGGAGGTGGGAGTTCATTTGCTCCTCACCAAGCAACCAAGTTGTAATCTCTCCTCTCAAGTAATACAAGTTCTATACATTCCCAAACTCTCTTGCTCACTTGCCTAACCTCTTCCTACACACCCAAGTAAGCAAAACACTTGTCTAGCCTTAGTCTTCACTAAGCTAGCACACTCGGGTAGGCTGACTTAGCGCTTCAAGGGGGCTTGAAAGTGTCTAAGGCCGCACGGGAGCTTGAAAAGGTTCAAGTCCGTGACAGTTGGTATCAGAGCTAAGGTTGTGAGGCGTCACACCTGGTGTGGAGGAAGCTATGGCGGAGCTATCAGACGTGACTGGCACCCAAGAGGAGACTCTACGTGGAAGGGAAACAAATCCCCCTCCAGGCGGAGTGAGGACGAGGGCTAGGTCGAAGGACATTATGGCGGGCTTAGAGGCACGTATGGCAAACATGGAGGGGTCCATAGCCAACGTGTTGGAGCAGCTTGAGGATGCTCACCAGCGCATGGATGGGCTGGAGTCGGAGGACGTTGAGGTCCAAAATGCTGTCAAAGGGTCACTCAATGCCCTAAGTGGTGACTTTCGGCAGGAGCTCCAAGCACTTCGAGAACTTATGTTGGGGGAGTTTGCCACCCTACGTGGCTATGTTGATCAGGAGCTTGGCACTTTCCGCGAGCAAGTGGAGGAAATGCGAGCGGACTGGACATTGTGCAAACGGGCGGTGGCGTCCGGCACAGCTACTACGGGGGTAGTAGCACCCCGGGTTGATATTCCCAAGCCTAAGTGCTATGGTGGGAACCGGGTAGCGAGGGAGTTGGAGAACTTCCTCTTCAGCATGGAGCAATACTTTGAGGCTACGGGCATGACCGATGAGACGATCAAGATACGCACGGCGACCCACTACCTCACCGACCATGCCATGCTATGGTGGAGGAAAAAGTATGGTGACATAGGCAAAGGTACGGTCTCTATTGATACTTGGGCTGATTTCACTAGGGAAATTAAGAAGCATTTCTATCCTGAGAATGCCGAGGATGAAGCTAGGGGCAGACTCCGAAGGCTAAAACAGGTTGGGTCGATTCGGGACTATGTGAAGGAATTCACTAACTTGACTCTTGAGATCCCGGATCTATCCGACAAGGACTCTCTTTTCTTCTTCATGGATGGATTGCAGTTGTGGGCTAAGACGGAGTTGAGGCGGCGCAACGTGCAAGACCTTGCCACAGCTATTGCAGAGGCGGAGTCCTTTATTGATTTCAGCTCCAAGAAGGAACCCTCGTCCAAGCCAAAAGACAAAGACAAGGACAAGGGGAGGTATGCCGGCAGAGGTGGGGGAGACAAGGGCGCTGCACCCCACAAGGATTGGTTCCGTAAGCCAGGTGGTGGTCATGGAGGCAAAGAGGGAAGGGAGAACAAGGAAGGAGCACCCAAGCCTAAGGGTTCTTGCTTCATATGTGATGGACCACATTGGATACGAGATTGCCCAAAGCGGAAGACCCTCAATGCCATGACGAGCCGTTATGAAGAGCAACAACAGGAGGAGGCGCAGATGGGTTCATTGCAAATCCTTAATACCATTAAGGCTAAAACTGAAGTCCCTAAGGCGGCGGCTAAAGGGCTAATGTTCGTGGAGGCGAGCATCAATGGGACACCCACACGTGCTTTGGTGGACACGGGTGCATCCCATAACTTTGTGAGCCTTGACGAGGCCAAGAGATTGGGCCTCAAGTATAGCAAAGAAGGGGGCTCCATGAAGGCAGTTAACTCGGCGGCAAAGGCCATACATGGCATGGCACACGGCGTCCAAGCATGCATTGGCGAGTGGGGTGGCCACATAGATCTATCGGTGGTACCCATGGACGACTTCAAATTAGTCCTGGGGTTGGATTTCTTAGACAAGGTGAGAGCCTTCCCCATCCCTTTTGCTAACACTATGTGTATTATGGAAGGCAACACAGCATGCATGGTGCCGGTGGAGCGAGGCGCCAAGTTGGAAGCCCAAGCTTTGTCAGCTATGCAATTCAAGAAGGGCTTCAAGAAGGGAGAGACTAGCTACCTTGCTACGTTACTGGAGACACCCGAAGATGAGCTAGTCCCTTCCCCACAAGAAGAGGTGCCTAAGGAGATACAAGCCGTGCTAGACGAGTACACGGACGTGATGCCTAAAGAGCTGCCCAAGAAGCTTCCACCTAGGAGGGAGGTGGATCATAAGATTGAGCTGGAACCGGGTTCTAAACCCCCTGCTTTGGTGCCCTACCGGATGGCACCCCCAGAGTTGGAGGAGTTGCGGAGGCAACTTAAGGAACTGTTAGATGCGGGCTATATTCGACCATCGAAGGCCCCATATGGCGCACCGGTGTTGTTCCAGAGGAAGAAGGACGGGTCCTTGCGCATGTGCATCGACTACCGGGCGCTCAACAAGGTGACTATCAAAAACAAGTACCCCATTCCTCTCATTGCCGATCTCTTTGATCAGCTTGGTGGAGCACGCTACTTCACTAAGCTTGACTTGCGCTCGGGGTACTACCAGGTGCGGATAGCGGACGGGGATGAGCCTAAGACTACGTGTGTAACGAGGTATGGCTCCTATGAGTTTCTTGTTATGCCGTTTGGCCTCACCAATGCACCTGCTACTTTTTGTACTTTGATGAACAAGCTCTTCCATCCCTACTTGGATCGCTTTGTGGTGGTGTACTTGGATGATATTGTTGTGTATAGCACCACTCTAGAGGAGCACGTGCAGCACTTGAGGGCGGTCTTCCAAGTCCTACGGGAGAACGACCTATATGTGAAGATGGAGAAATGCTCATTTGCCCAAGAGGAGGTGTTGTTCCTAGGGCATAAGATACGGGATGGCAAGCTGATGATGGATGAGGCAAAGGTGAGGGCCATTCAAGAGTGGGAGCCGCCCACTAAGGTGACAGAGCTACGCTCATTCCTTGGGCTTGTCAACTACTACCGCCGCTTTATCAAGGGTTACTCGGCGAGAGCAGCCCCATTGACAGACCTTCTCAAGAAGGCGCGTGCTTGGAGTTGGACAGAGTCGTGCCAGGGGGCATTTGATGACTTGAAGAGGGCAGTTACGGAGGAGCCGGTACTTAGCTTGCCCGACCACTCCAAGCCATATGAGGTGCACACGGATGCATCAGACTTCGCTATTGGGGGTGTGTTGATGCAGGAAGAACACCCCATAGCTTATGAGAGCCGCAAGCTTAATGACACTGAGCGGCGCTATACTGTGCAAGAGAAAGAAATGACGGCGGTCATCCATTGCCTACGTACTTGGAGGCACTACTTGCTCGGGGCACAATTTGTGATCAAGACGGATAATGTTGCCACCAGCTACTTCCAGACACAGAAGAAGCTTAGCCCCAAGCAAGCTCGTTGGCAGGACTTCCTAGCGGAGTTCACTTACCATTTCGAATATAAGCCGGGCAAGGCCAATGTTGTGGCGGACGCACTTAGTCGCAAGGCCGAGCTCGCAGCTATTAGTCGGCCCCAACACTCTCTTGTGGAGCGAATCAAAGAAGGGTTGCAGCATGACCCTCTAGCCAAAAGCCTTATTCAGCTAGCTAAGGAAGGGAAGACTCGGCGCTTTTGGCTAAGGGATGATTTACTTCTCACTACGGGGGACCGACTCTTTGTGCCCAGGTGGGGCAACTTGCGGAAGGAGCTAATACGGGAGTGCCACGACACCAAATGGGCTGGTCACCCAGGTATGCGGCGCACACTAGCACTCCTTGAAGATTCTTACTATTGGCCTCGGATGCGAGATGACGTGGAGACATATGTGAGGACTTGTCTTGTGTGCCAACAAGATAAGATTGAACAACAGCATCCTGCAGGCCTACTAGAGCCACTGCCTATTCCAGAGAGACCATGGGAGAGCGTCTCTATGGACTTCATCACTTGCTTACCCAAGTCAGAGGGTTGCGGGAGCATTATAGTGGTGGTAGATCGATTCAGCAAGTATGCCACCTTCATACCCGCACCAGCAGACTGCACAGCAGAGAGGGCAGCAGAGTTATTTGTCGACCATGTGGTCAAGCTTTGGGGAGTTCCGCAGAATATTGTCAGTGATAGAGACCCGCGTTTCACGGGTAGATTTTGGACGGGACTCTTCAAGAAGATGGGGACGGATCTTAACTTCTCTACGAGTTTCCACCCCCAATCAGATGGGCAGACAGAGCGCATCAACGCTCTCCTGGAGCTTTATTTGAGGCACTATGTGAGTGCTAATCAGCGAGATTGGGCCAAACTCCTTGGGGTGGCACAGTTTTCTTACAACTTGCAGCGGAGTGAGGCTACCAATCACAGTCCATTTGAGGTTGTCACCGGACGGCAGCCTATGACACCCAACGCCATTGCTTCAACTTGCGATGGTAAGAGTCCGGCGGCCTACAAATTTGCCAAGAGGTGGCATGAGCAGTCCGACTTGGCTAGGGCGTACCTTGACAAGGCGGCAAAGAAGATGAAGAAGTGGGCCGACACCAAGCGAAGGCGGGTGGAGTACATAGTGGGAGACCAAGTGATGGTTAAGCTACTACCCCAACAATTCAAGTCCTTCCGGAGCGTGCATAAGGGGCTAGTAAGGAGGTACGAGGGCCCGTTCCCCATCGTCAAGCGGGTGGGCAAGGTCTCCTACATGGTGGAGCTTCCACCCAAGTTGAAGATACATCCAGTCTTCCATGTCAGCATGCTCAAGCCTTATCATGAAGACACGGAAGACCTTACTCGGGGCATATCGCATAGGGCACCCACGGCCGTTGTCACATCCTTTGACAAGGAAGTTGATTGCATCCTTGCAGATCGTGTGATGAGCAGGAGAGGTGTGCCCAAATATACAGAGTATTTAGTGAAGTGGAAGAACCTGCCAGATAGCGAGGCGAGCTGGGAGCATGAGGATACACTATGGCAGTTCGCAGAGCATATCCAGCGGTTCAAGCAAGAAGACGCGACGAGGGCGTCGCGAGCTTAGGTGGGGGAGAATGTCACACCCCGCTACCAAGAGGCTATGCCACGCAGGCGCCACGCAGACGCCCAGCAGACGATGACATGGAGCCTGCATGGATTGGAGCTTTCTAGACTTCTCTACACAAGTATGGAACTTTCCGGAATTCTCTAGATTAGTGTGGAGTTGTCTAGCCTTTTCTAGACTTGTCTAGAGTTGTATAGAATTCTCTAGAATTCTCTAGACTTGTCTTGTACATAGTAGATAGTTCTAGAGTTGTGTAGATATTTCTGGAGGATTCTAGACACTAAATCTAGGCCACACATTTGTACACATCTAGAATGTTCTTGTAAGGCCAAAGGCCTATAAATAGGAGGTGGGAGTTCATTTGCTCCTCACCAAGCAACCAAGTTGTAATCTCTCCTCTCAAGTAATACAAGTTCTATACATTCCCAAACTCTCTTGCTCACTTGCCTAACCTCTTCCTACACACCCAAGTAAGCAAAACACTTGTCTAGCCTTAGTCTTCACTAAGCTAGCACACTCGGGTAGGCTGACTTAGCGCTTCAAGGGGGCTTGAAAGTGTCTAAGGCCGCACGGGAGCTTGAAAAGGTTCAAGTCCGTGACATTACGCTTATGTCAATGTATATGAAGCAAATACATTTATACTGTATTCTCATTTTGTTGATTAATATTGGAATTCTAAACTTAATAATCGCTAGTTTCTATCAAAGAACAAAGAGAGAGGACCCACAACCTTTAAGGTGATCGATCAGCTAGGTCGAGCTGTGTCGCCATTAATGAGTAAAAAGACCCGCTAGCTACTACATCAACAGTCACCCTGCATGAATTAATTCGTTAATTCGACTACAGCTGTATGAGATGCTGATCGAAGTATTGTGGGATCTACATATTAATCTGTAATGGCTTAATACAATTAATTGCCTATGAAAATAATGTTATATGATACTGTGTGTTTGAATCCCCATTCCTCCATCTTAATGCAACTGGAAAAACAATTTTAGAACCTTTAATTAGGCCTCTCCTCTCCTCTCCTCTCCATTGTTATGGAATCTCTTTACACTTGCTCCCTTGTTTCTTCTATTACATTTATATTGTTGGTGCACTACTACTCTCTCGTGACTTGCTTGGCTGTGAGTACTGCAACCAATATCACCACTGATCAATCGGCTCTTCTTGCCCTGAAATCCCATATCACTTACGACCCTCGCAACATCTTGGCCAACTGGACCAACTCAACCTCCCCTTGCAACTGGATTGGTGTCCATTGCAGCACTCGCCGCCACAGAGTTGCAGCCTTAAACCTTTCTTACATGGGCCTACGAGGCACCATCCCTCGACATTACAAACAATAGTTTCCATGGCGATATCCCTGAAGAGATAGGTCTGTTGAGTAGAGTTGAGGCTATCATTTTCCTTTTCAACCACGTTACAGGAAACCTTCCTAAAGATATCGGAAAGCTTGCTAGTCTGGAGTTTTTGGATCTGAGGTGGAACCGACTTTCGGGCTCCATACCTGCCTCCATCTTCAACATCTCCTCGCTGGAGAGTATTAGACTCAACCAAAATAGCCTATCGGGTAACCTTCCAACGGATATATGCTACCGTGTTCCAAAACTTTCCAGACTTGGAATGGCCAGTAACCACTTCCATGGCCAAATTCCTTCCACTTTATATAAATGCTCCCAACTTCAAATCTTGTCATTGTCAAATAACAAATTTAGTGGAGCAATACCAAGAGAGATCAGGAATTTAACCATTCTGAAAGAGTTATATCTTGGTGGAAACAACTTGAAAGGTATGTATGTCGATACTGCTTTTTTTTTCTTTTCTTTTTTTTCTTTTTTTTATCCCTTAATTACTATATCCATGCATATATGCAATGACTTCATCTTTTTTACACAGTGATTCTGATAAAAGTTTTTCATACCATGGAAATTTGGAAAATTGTGGTATACTTAGAGGAATAATTGTACGAGGATATATTCAAATTAATGCTTTAAAAGTCCATAATTTTATGGCTTCCCAGAAAGGTGAACAATATATATAAGTGAATATAATTTACATTTTTTACTTTGAAAGTCCATCTGAGGCCGGACAAAGTGATTATGTGTAGAGAGGATGATTTTTGAACGGAATTGTAAAAGGCAATGAAGCAGAGGAGGGTCTTAAAAATAGACATGACAGTACCTCATCTTGTGTTTCATTGCAGTCTTTTAGTAATTGTGTTCCAGTTTAGTTGGCCTCAAGTTACATGCTATGTTGGAAAACAGCTTTGTTTTGAATGGAAAACCTAGAATATTTTCTAACGGTTTAATCTTATTATTACTCCGTATATGCTTGAAATAGAGATTTGCTGGTAATTTTGTATTCATGTGTAGGTAAAATTCCACAAGAGTTGGGAAATTTTCATATTCTGGAGGTGCTAGCAACTGATGGTGCTGGCCTCACTGGTACCGTCCCATCTTCTGTCTTTAACATTTCTTCTTTGAAAAGGCTTTATCTGGATAGGAATAAATTAACTGGTACTCTGCCGCGGGGTATGAGCTGGCAACTTCCTATTACATCTTATATATAATAGTTTGACTGGTACGTATATATCCTCTTCATTATCTATTTTTTATATGTTTGATTTTCAGAATTGGCACAGAGTCCTTGTTGAAATAACAAGCATTTCTAATTTTCTTTAGGTTGTATTTGGCTGCATGAAATTGGAGCTTTGAAATTAGAATTAGTGTAATTGGAGAAATTTTCTGTTTATTTTTATGACCAGCTTTCTTTTAATTCCACAAATTCCAATTCCAAGACTACCATTTCATGCAACTAAACATACCTTAAAGTGTATATATATTCCCAATGGATGGGAGCTTAGTAGAACATGCTGTCATAAACTTCACATTTTTAATTGCAGGTGCAATACCACAAGAGATTGAAAATCTTTCCGATCTGGAGAGTTTAAAATTAAGTTTGAATAGCTTAGAAGGTCCAATTCCGGAAAAATTATTCAACATATCAAAACTAAGAATCATTGCATCAGCGGCCAATTATCATCTTTGAGGCAAACTTCCATTGATTATTAGGTTAGCCAATCTTGAAGAATTATCCCTCCCTCTATCTCAAATGCTTCCAAACTCATTCGTTTAGACCTTTCCTCTAACAACTTCAACCATTTCATTCCCAACTCACTTGGTAAATTGGAACTGCTCGAATTTCTAAACCTAGCAGGAAACAATTTCATGAGCGAATCTTCGAACCAAGAATTGGGAATTATTACTGCCTTGACAAATTGCAAGCGTTTAAGAATATTGTGGATGGAAAGAAATCCTCTGAATGACATCCTTCCGGTATCCATTGGGAATTTGTCCAATTTGCTGCAAGATATTCGGGCGGGTGATTGTGAAATTAAGGGCAACATTCCTAACCATATTGGTAACTTGACCAATTTGTTTTTCTTACATCTACATGGCAATGGCTTCACTGGATCTATTCCAACCACAATAAATAAGTTGCCAAGGCTTCAAATTTTAGATCTTGCATATAACAGGATACAAGGTCCCATTCCAAATGGTCTCTGCCATTTAAAGAACTTGGCTTCATTGGATCTGAGTGAAAATGAACTTGTTGGTCCAATTCCAACTTGCTTAGGGGATGTTACATTTCTGAGAAAACTCTTTCTGGGCGCCAACAAATTAACCTCCACAATACCCATAAATCTATTTAGCCTCAAAAGATATCTTGAAATTGAACTTGTCCTCAAATTCTTTGAGGGGCTCTCTTCCCTCAAACATTGGAAGTCTAAAGGCCGCAATACAAATAGATTTATCACAAAATAAATTTTCAGGGGATATCCCTAGCACAATTGGAGGTCTACAGAGCTTAATCAGTTTTTCTTTGGCACATAATAGACTACAAGGACCTATTCCCGAGACATTTGGAAACTTGATAAGCTTGGAATTCTTGGATCTGTCTTACAACAATCTCTCAGGTGTAATTCCCATGTAAATACTTACACTTACATATATATATTTTCCCATCTCTCCACTTTTGTGGCCTCTTTAAGTAATACATTGCTTAAATAAATTAGAACTTCCATATAAAGATAATGGCTCAAGAAAAAAGAAATGGCAAATCATAATTTTTTTTTAAAAAAAAAATTTATTTTTGTCACTGACAAAAAATTCACATGCATTATTCAAAACACAACTATTTTGATTCTTTGAAGAGTCGAATTCATATTATTCATTTTGAGTAAACGGTAAAGGACATACCATTGGGCACAAGTTCTGCTTTCAAGTTTTTCATTGGAATTTTTATTTTTGGTTTTAAATAAGATGTAGAGCCTAATATTCTGTACACTTTAGCCAACTTCGCAGATTACGGAATTCCACTTCTTATGTTAACCCTACTAGTTGGGTATTTATTCATCCTGAGAAATCCTGCAACCTTTACCTTAGCTTAAGTGAACTATCTGTGTGTCATTGTGTTATATATATATATATTTCCCTGTTTAATTTCCCAACAATCCCAACTGTTTGGTGTGAAGTCGGTTAGAAAAGGCCCGCGAAATCACTTGTATCATATCCGTTTGTTTCTTTCTAAATACATAAACATATACAGCACCCTCTCATGGAGTTTCCTAAAAACTCACACACTTATGTTTTGTTCTAAGAAAGAATATATTACCAGTATTTGGTAAAGAAGAGACAAGAAATAAAAAATAATAGGATAGATGAGTATTTTTTTTCCTTTACAAAAATTTCTTCAACCTTTAACCAAAAAAAAAAAAAATTTCTTCGACCCGCAGCTCAAACGCATCAAAGAGCTAGTGTCTTATCTTGTTGCGTTCTTTCTGTTTCTTCTGCATATTCAATGAAATGTTCTGCAGATCATACTAATCTATTTTTAAAATTTCGTTTCGGAAAAATATAAACCTACCCTACCCTCGATAAGATTGATTAGATTTTATTATCAAAGATAGTGGTTCAACAGGTAAGAATAATCCTATTATAACTGGAGGAGGTCAAAAGGATTAAATCATATCGATTTCGCACAAGCGGAAGATAAGATCAACCATCGATATCGACGGAACTATTTTGATTCCAATCGACAGTCATAAATAGGACATCAAGCCATTAAAGAAGGTACGACGTAAAAATTATTATTAACCCTGTCTTCTTTTTAAACCTCAGTTCTCCTCTCTTCTTTGCAGAAAAAGGGAATCATATCGGGCTGCGCAAATTTCGGCCTCAACAATTACAACTTTGTTTTCTTTCCAATCTAGGATTTTGTATTCAAATGTTAGACTGAAGAATATTTTTTTCAATCTTGTTTATGGAGTTCAGAATCCGTAGATTGGCTGTGGATTTGTTTAGATTTTATGGGGATTCGACAAAGAAAGTTAAATAATAAACAGAACACACAAATTTATGTAAATAAATAAATAAATAAATAACTATATGTTTTTTACTAGTTTAAGTTGGGGCCATTATATTTGACACGCCACGTTGAGTAGGTAAGAGTAGGGTTTTTATTTTTTGGGGGCGGGGGGAAATGGCAATACTCTTTTCTTTTCTCCAAATAGGGGCGAAAGAGGAGTGATGTTTGCTACAAATCAATTTCTTTTTTCGCACAAACGTAAAAGGAAGCAAGATAGGCTGTGGTGCAAAACAATTTCAGTGAACATTTCATCTATAAAACAAGTTAAAAAGTCACTAAACCTTCAAAGTTACATTGAAGACATTCAGCAAACAAAAGAATGATACGGAGTAAATACATAATTAATCACAATCACATTTCCCAGAAGCCATTTCGTGCCCTTTTTCAGTTCCTACACGTACTTGCATGCACCTTTGCCTGTAATCAAACACAAGAAGCACGCAACAACGATCTTAATAATTTGTACATTCTATTCAAATTTGTGCAATCAATCATAAATTCATGCAATTTTACTAATTAGAATTGTCGTCTTACTTGGGTCAACGTTGATGACAATACCACTGCCAGAGAACCCACAATCTTTTTGACCAGTTGATTGATAGAGTGCGTTCATTGCATATGATGCGTGAGAGAAGGCATTAGCAGGGTCGAAGCATGGTCCGCCGGCTTGAATGGGCTTGCAGTCTACCTTGCCGCAGGCATAGTCTATGTTCCACTGCAACCTCTGAGCATCTGTTCCCGGTTTCGGCACACACCATGTCTTTCCAGCTGCTCCAGGTGCTTGTTTACGGTTCCTTGGGTTCCTCGGGCTCTGGTTCCCCGGGTTCCTCGGTTTTCTCGGGTTCCTAGGGTTTCTTGGAGTCCTACCAGCTGGTGGTTTTGTTTCCGGTGCTGGATTAACCGGTGCAGCCTATACATGCAATGAGAAAGTAAATAAATAATTAATATTCAAACAATTTGATCTACCCAAATTTTTGAAAACACAACTGTTAATCTAGCTCTCTAACAGAGACCACATGATCAATCTCATGGTCCAACAACATAAACAAACCTCTGGCAGATGCCAAATATATTTAAATAGCAGAGACCACATGATTTATCTCATGGTCCAACAACATAAACAATCTTTAACAATGCAAGTTGATGGGTAAAATTCCATATAGCTTACCAGAACAAAATGAAAAACATAAAATGTTTTTATGTTTTCAATTCTGTGTAGTATAAAAAGGAAAATGAAGCATCATATATAAATTTCTTATCCTGATACCCGTGACATAAGTTTTTAACGGCTCTAATAAATTTCATCATACTTTATTAAACATATGAATATAAAAGCTGCCCGTGAAATGGACCAACCATAAATACCAATTGCTGTGAGGCACCGACGTCAATCACACTTGCCAGCCATCAATTCAAACAAAAGATAAATGATCAGACAGTGTGGGATCATGTGGTCTTAGCCAATTATAAGTTATCGCACAATAAAAAGTTAAATATATCCTTGACACATTTAGGTTGTGATTGGCCAGACCACATAATCCGGAACTATCAACGGATTCAATATCCCATTTTACTATGTTTAGATTGTGATTGGTCAAAAGGACCACATAATCCCGAACTATCTACTAATTCAATGTCCCATTTTACTATATTGAAGGGCTAGAAAAAAAAAAAAAAAAAAATTAGGCCCTCCATTTGGACTCACATCTTTGTTTACTTTATGAATGCTATTAGAACATGTAATGAAAATTTTCTCATTTTGTTTTGGCTCAGATCATGTAACGAACTTAATAAAGACCTAAAAATATATGTTACCTTTCGCGTACCCATAACTCCAATGTCGTATACCGAGCTGAAATCTGGCCGGAACAACCCGAAATTCCTCTCGGAAATAGAGCCTGGTTTCTGGTTCTCGTTGAACAAAGCGAAAAGGTAAGTCTCAAAATTCCGTTTGGGCATCAACGGCGTCCCTTGACCGGAGCTAGCCTTCTGCAAAATATTCAGATTGTGCTGCCTGGCATTCTCAGGGGTGTTTTGGGTCAACCAGGGCTCACCCGCCGACGGCCACCCGGTCTCTCCCACCACAATCTCCACATCTCCATATCCAATGCTCTTCATGGCCGAGTGAACTGAATCCAACAACTGATCATACATGTTGGTGTAGGTTAGCCCCGTGCCGGGGTCACGAACGCCGGAGTTTTGCTTGAAGAGGACGTAGTTGGCCTTCTCCGGGCTGTAACCGAAATACGGGTAGGGATTAATCATAAACCCTGACTTGGTTTTACGCAAAAACTCAAGCATGGGTGCCATAATGGATTTCTCGACGTCGGGAAGGAAGCGGGAAGCGCTGGGGATCGGGGTGGGAACGAGCATGCCAAGAGAATGAGGGGTTGAGATCTTAACATCCTTCATTCCGGCTTGCAGGAGAGCTTGGCTCAGGGTTTGCATGGCGGGAACGAGGCTGTTTTTCATGTTAGCGTCGCCCCAGTGGAGGACTTCACTGCCAACCAAGATGTAGTTGATTTTGGTCGCCGGATAGAATGGTTTAACCTTGGTGTCGATCCACTGGCGAGCTCCGGCGATGTTGGTGAGCCCGGGGATGTCGCCGTTGGGGACGGTGATGGAGACGGAGATGCCGGAGTTGGCGAATGCCCTGATAATGTCGGGGTTGGCGTCGAAGAGCTTGACGGCGTCTATGTTGGTCTTGTCCTTGATGAATTGAGCCACCTGGGCCGGCGGTGGGAGGTTGTCGGCGAGGGTGCCATAGTTGACGCCGATGGAGTGGACGGCGGCAAAACACTGGATTACAAGAGTAGTAATGAGGAAGATAAGACTGTATGGAGATTTCCTCGCAGACACCTCCATTTTCAGGCCTTGGTTTGAGATTGGGAGATGAGATTTGAGATCAAGAGTGTATATATATAGGGATGGGTTTGAGATAGAGCAAACTAATTGGGAAAGAATTGGATGGTTTTGTTTGTCTTTCCTAAACCGAGGAGAGAGAGAGGAGAGAGAAAATGTGTGTTTGCTAAAATTTAAGAGAGAGAGAGAGATGAAAGAGATGAAGAGGTGCCTCAACCTCAAGGATGTGGAGTGGTGATGAAATTCCGGGATTTTTCTTTCCCTGGTCAAAAGAAACATGTCCCACTTTTTCTTTTGCTTTTAAAAATAAAGCTGGTTCATATTTTGTTGTCGGACAGCTGGGGAATCTGTTTGGGTAGGGAGAAAATATATTACTATAATATCACGTGGCCACGCAAAGACAGAACACTGTTTTCCAGTCATAATTTTAAAAAAGCAGAGAACGAAACCGCGTAAGGGAAAAGCAAAAGGAGACACGACAGAATGAGTGGGCTCCACAAACGTCAGATTCAAGATTTGAACGATCAATTTAGATCAAATAACCTTTAGTCAAATAGTCAACAGCACTACCAATCAAAACTCCATATTTAATATAATATGCTCATGTCACGGGAAAGGATAAAAATATTTATGACAACATCTGGAATAGACCTGACTCCTGAGTAAGTTAGTAGACCTTTATTGAGATTTTACTCCTGAGTAAGGCAATAAGTTATACAAGAATCAAGGAAAATTCCTTAATGAAATTTACGGACTACGTTTGAGAGTATGCATCGTGAATTTAAAATTAAGAAATATTTAATTCAAATATTGAATTAAAATTTTTAGTATCAAGGAAAATTCCTTAATAAAATTTATGGACTACGTTTGAGAGTATGCATCGTGAATTTAAAATTAAAAAAAATTTAATTCAAATATTGAATTAAAATTTTTATAATTTTAAAACGAAGTAATCTAATTTAATTATTCCAAACAAAACATAAAAGTGTTTTTAACTTAGAAATGTATGATTTGGCCCCATGTTATAATGAAAGTTCCAGCATGCTCGTAAACAAATTCACATTCCTTTATTTCAAAATAATTATTCATCTTTTTATTTTAAAATGCCCGAAGTACAAGTCTCATTTTTAAAATAGATATATTACTTTTTATAACATTCCTAAATTATAATATTTACTTTATTAAACACTGCAGAGTACTTTTTGTGTTTTAATAAAAATAAATGTAAAATTTCACTCTTATTTACCAAAACACCCAGAGTAGCTTTTATAATGACATGGATATGTTTAGTGACTAGTTGCGCGTCAAAGCCCTTTTGGTGTAAATTGATGTAATTCCTAACGCAATGTCCGTAAGTATTTTATTGTAAGCATATGGTCCAATGACGTAACTATGCTGCTTGGCGGACTTGTACCACCTTTGAAAAGGTGTTTCACATGGAAATTATGTAACTAAAGCCATGATCATCCAATTTGGCGCTTGTAAATATAAGAAGTGTGCATGATTTTGATACTCTAAAATAATAAATGGTGTTACGAGGACTTAATACAGACTCTGAAATATTTTAGGTGAACAAAATATTTTGGTCAAATGAAGTGAACAAGACCGTTGGTACAAGACCGAGGCAAAAGTTCGTTGTCTGCTTAATATATATTACAGTTTTGAGCACGTGTAAATGGCTGAACTGTTGATGGAAATGTTCCAACTACTACCAGAAAATGTGGTCAAACAAGGTTTACTAGGTTTAATAGCTAGCTAGCTTTTAACCGTAGCTAGTAAATACAGCAACTCATTGCTAATCATAGTGTGTGTGAGCAGTAACTTTTAGGCCCACAAACAAATGAGCTGAGTAGACCTCAAATTTGGGTTGTTCGAGGTCAACTCGTCAGCTCAATAGAAGAATTCGGAGTCGACTCAGTAACTCGGACGAGCTTGGATATATATCAAAATCGTCTTCATCTTCGTTCTGAATTTAAATCTCACCTAATGATCCATCGTCTAGTTCGTACTCATACAACTCATGGCACACATTATTTCATTGGAAACAAATTTGTGTGTGTGTGTGTGTGTGTGTGTGTGTGTGAGAGAGAGAGAGAGATCTAACCTTGCAGTTGCAAGTGGACTGTAGCAGAGGGTCGCCGTGAGAAAGGGTTGCGGCACGGCTTTCCAGTGGAAATGGGCGGTTCGTTAGTCTGCGGTGGAGAGGGTTGAGCGACTGTACTTTTCCTTGGGTTCTTTATTTCTTACTTATTAATCTATTTAATTAATCTAATGACTGAAACGGATTTGTATTCAATGGGGACAACCCTAGTGTCCAACCCGTTGTCAAGTTGGGTTTAAGTGGGGTATTGTCTAATTATTTGAATTTAACTTATATTATTTTTCTCTTTTTGGAAAAAAAAAAAAAAAACATCAATTCTCACCTGTCCTATTCAATGTTGCCGCGCCATTACCGGCTATATTTGCTCACCATTTCATCCCTTGTTCATGCCAACGTCTGTTAGTCTTTTATAAAAAATTCAGATTGTATTGAATTTTGGGATAGGATTCCATTAAGGGGATGAATTGATTTTGCTAGACTTAGGGTTAGAGTTTGACTATGGGACTGAATTGGTGGCCGGAATAATTGTGGGTTGGTATCTACACGTATGTATTTTAAATTCACGATGCATACTCTCAAACATAGTCCATAAATTTCATTAGGGAATTTTCCTTAATTCAAATATTGAATTAAAATTTTTAGTACCAAGGAAAATTCCTTAATGAAATTTATGGACTAGAGTATGCATCGTGAATTTAAAATTAAAAAAAATTTAATTCAAATATTGAATTAAAATTTTTATAATTTTAAAACGAAGTAATCTAATTTAATTATTCCAAACAAAACATAAAAGTGTTTTTAACTTAGAAATGTATGATTTGGCCCCATGTTATAATGAAAGTTCCAGCATGCTCGTAAACAAATTCACATTCCTTTATTTTAAAATAATTATTCATCTTTTTATTTTAAAATGCCCGAAATACAAGTCTCATTTTTAAAATAGATATATTACTTTTTATAACATTCCTAAATTATAATATTTACTTTATTAAACACTGCAGAGTACTTTTTGTGTTTTAATAAAAATAAATGTAAAATTTCACTCTTATTTACCAAAACACCCAGAGTAGCTTTTATAATGGCATGGATATGTTTAGTGACTAGTTGCGCGTCAAAGCCCTTTTGGTGTAAATTGATGTAATTCCTAACGCAATGTCCGTAAGTATTTTATTGTAAGCATATGGTCCAATGACGTAACTATGCTGCTTGGCGGACTTGTACCACCTTTGAAAAGGTGTTTCACATGGAAATTATGTAACTAAAGCCATGATCATCCAATTTGGCGCTTGTAAATATAAGAAGTGTGCATGATTTTGATACTCTAAAATAATAAATGGTGTTACGAGGACTTAATACAGACTCTGAAATATTTTAGGTGAACAAAATATTTTGGTCAAATGAAGTGAACAAGACCGTTGGTACAAGACCGAGGCAAAAGTTCGTTGACTGTTTAATATATATTACAGTTTTGAGCACGTGTAAATGGCTGAACTGTTGATGGAAATGTTCCAACTACTACCAGAAAATGTGGTCAAACAAGGTTTACTAGGTTTAATAGCTAGCTAGCTTTTAACCTTAGCTAGTAAATACAGCAACTCATTGCTAATCATAGTGTGTGTGAGCAGTAACTTTTAGGCCCACAAACAAATGAGCTGAGTAGACCTCAAATTTGGGTTGTTCGAGTTCAACTCGTCAGCTCAATAGAAGAATTCGGAGTCGACTCAGTAACTCGGACGAGCTTGGATATATATCAAAATCGTCTTCATCTTCGTTCTGAATTTAAATCTCACCTAATGATCCATCGTCTAGTTCGTACTCATACAACTCATGGCACACATTATTTCATTGGAAACAAATTTGTGTGTGTGTGTGTGAGAGTGAGAGAGAGAGAGAGAGAGAGAGGGAGAGAGATCTAACCTTGCAGTTGCAAGTGGACTGTAGCAGAGGGTCGCCGTGAGAAAGGGTTGCGGCACGGCTTTCCAGTGGAAATGGGCGGTTCGTTAGTCTGCGGTGGAGAGGGTTGAGCGACTGTACTTTTCCTTGGGTTCTTTATTTCTTACTTATTAATCTATTTAATTAATCTAATGACTGAAACGGATTTGTATTCAATGGGGACAACCCTAGTGTCCAACCCGTTGTCAAGTTGGGTTTAAGTGGGGTATTGTCTAATTATTTGAATTTAACTCATATTATTTTTCTCTTTTTGGAAAAAAAAAAAACCCATCAATTCTCACCTGTCCTATTCAATGTTGCCGCGCCATTACCGGCTATATTTGCTCACCATTTCATCCCTTGTTCATGCCAACGTCTGTTAGTCTTTTATAAAAAATTCAGATTGTATTGAATTTTGGGATAGGATTCCATTAAGGGGATGAATTGATTTTGCTAGACTTAGGGTTAGAGTTTGACCATGGGACTGAATTGGTGGCCGGAATAATTGTGGGTTGGTATCTACACGTATGTAGATACATGTTTGGTAAATAAATAATTAATGGAAGGTCGTTACAATAGGTTGGTAATGGTGAGAGAGAAGCAAAGATTGTGACGTGTTGTGGAAAAACAAAGAGGCGGGGTCAGTGATGATTGTGATGGTGTTGTGCAAAATTCAACATAATTTGAATTATTGAATTAGCGTTGAAAAGGCTAGAAAAAATTCAACATAATTTGAATTATTGAATTAGCATTGAAAAGGCTAGAAAAAATATTCGGCAATGCCACGAGTTAAAAAACAAATCTCATCACAATAGGTTAAATTCTGAACTCCAATAATTGAACAATATTCAACTTAAATTTAACTTTTATTTTGAATCAACTCTTTTAAATTTATTAAGTCACGTCACATAAAAGTGTTGTTTGATAACTTGAGGTAAACTGCAAAAAAATCTCCCAACTATAAGTCAATAGCACAAGAGTTCCCTAATTAAAAAGTATCCCCCAAACTATTAAAATGTTGCACTTGAGGACAACAGGTGAGATCTCTAGTACCGGAAATAGAAGATTACAAATCCACCTGTGGTGAAATGGCACCGTTTTGCTGCTAATGTGTAAACCAAAATATGAAGAACCAATGAGAATTGGACAACTCGTAATCTTATCAAAAAAACAACACCTACACCCACCTCATTTTAGTACACCACCCGCTGCCCGTTCGATGCTTCCTCCAGGAACAGAGACATAGCACAGGTAGCAGAGGACGACGACGACCACCTCCTCACCTCACCGCACTCCATTCAACTTCCTCGACTCCTCCTTCACCATCCACGCGCACGCTGCCCATTAGATTGCTTCGTTTCTCACATCAAACAACTGGAATCTTATCGAATTCTCGATTTGCTGAAACCCTGAAGTTTGAAACCCAATCGCCGTGAGACTGAACCCTAAACGAAGGTGAAGACATTCTCCACAACCAATTCTCATTCTCATCTCAGACCAAACCCTAAGCTTTCGTTTCGTATCAAATTACCAATATTTCTCTCAATTTCTGCCATTTAAAGTTAGAAAGCTATCTATCTTTTATAAACAACAAGTTGCCAGTCTTCCATCTAGAAAGGAAAGGAGCTGATCGATGCTGATGTAGCAATTTAGCATTCAACATAAAGAAATGACCGTTTACACCTACTAGTGTTCAATATCATAGACTGTAGCCGGTCAACCCTAATAGCATATCCAAGGTTTGGTCAAATGAGTCAAATGTCTATCCAAATCAAGATCAGCATCCACCACCATTTATATTTTCATTTTGGTGGTCTCAATTACGACAAAATTACGGCAACAACGCTCGCCATTGTTGGCGATCACCAAGCAACCCCAAGAGCGATCACCGCCGCGTTGATTCTTACTGTCACCATCGGAATGTATCTCCGTCATCGGATCTATTGGTTGTTCTTATGATTTGTTCGTTGAATGAAGCTGCTGGCCAGTTTTGGGTGTTGGAGTGGGTTTTAAATCGGGTCAAGACAATTCTATTTAAATGGGCAATAAGGTTATTCTTGGCATTTAAAATTTATGCTTAGGTCATGTGATGTCACACACTACTTTCAGGTTGATGATAATTCACCGACGGAACTGGGGTATGTGCAAAAAAAGAAAATAGATTAGGGGTTAAGTGTAAAAATTTCAGGGATTTTTTGCACTTTACTATAACTTCAATAGATTAAGCGTTATTTACTTTAAATGAGTAAAATATTAAGTAACGAAAATATGCTGAAAGTTAAAAATATAAAAATATATTTAATTTTTCATAAATATTTAGAATTTTAAAGGATGACTGATGGGCTATTTGGGCCTGTACTTATTCATGCAATTATGCGAGTTCGGCCCAACTCATGTTTGATGTTGAAAAAAATAAAACACTTTTATATTTGATAGGCTGGTCCTTCATTCATTGAGTTCAAATTAAGCTGGTTTATTTAATGAATGAGCCCTAATTAAACTTTCAATGAACCGAACTCTAACGGTTCATGAACAACTCAGACAACATACTCAAACTAATCCAAATCTAGTCAAGACCCCCAATACAAGCAACAAATACTTCAATTAAGACTAAAGCCTATGTAAAGAATGATGAAAATCTCATCTCATCCTATCTAAAATTTTCTGTCTAAACCGAAGCTCGGCCGGAATCGGATACCTGCAGGAACAAGAACCTTCCACCCTCATCCTGGAGAAAAATGTTGATTCTTTCCCCCCAATACATGATGTAAATGCCCCGCTGCACACTATGGCACACCCTTAAAAACTAACTTCCTAAGAGGTGTATGGACTTTTCATCAAGACCCATCCCTAAAGAATTTCCAACCGGACAATGTTTAATATAAAAGCGAGGCAATTTTCATATCACAAATTCTATTTGGTAAATAATTTCCGTTAAGAAAAGAATCAATAGACAACATAAACAGTGTTATTGCTGGAAATACATAAAGGCTAATGTATCAATGCAGAGAAGAATATAACATCATTCAAGAAACCTTTTGGTTGCTGGAAAAACAAAACGGAAGTAGATTTATAGAGTGGAACGTGTCGAAAGCTGAAAATGGGACAAAATTTTCCTATGCCAACAAAATGAGAGGCAAGGAATGGATTCTCAACGAAACCAAACAACAAAAAGAAAAATACAATCTGTAGAATGATGCCCCAGAGTCGTGCAAGTAGGAACTGGTCAATGCTGAAGATATCAAGAGCAGTTCCATAAAGTTGGGAGCCTTGCATTCTGCTGGTGCACAGAAAAATGGAAGGAAAATGATGTACTCCCCCCAGTGAGCCGGAAAAAAAAAGTATCTCCACCATAATATGGCGAGTTATTGCTACTTGTGTCGTCTACATGAACCTGTCCTCCTTTCTAGTTACACATTTGATACCTGGAAATAGAAATTCTCCTCCTGCCAGAATCTGTACATCTCACAGATGCCTGAACGAGGAGAGCCTCCGCCTTTCAAGCTTCTTCAGCCTCCGGTTATTTTCACCATTTATGGGTTTCAACAGTCGTTCTACTTCAATTTCAGATTGGAGCAAAGATTGCAGCCTCTTTAAATGTCCATTACACTGCTCATGTTCACAAGGAAGAGTGGTGTTGCTTTTCTGTTCATCTGGATTAAATTGTCTCTGGTAGGGTGAGTGCCATTTCGCTTGCAAATAAGCAAGAGATCTCCATGGAGGAAGAGGCATAGAGTTCTGCTTGAGAGAAGATCTAGCAGCTTCAGCCATAACTTGAAGAAATTGTTTCAGCTTTGTCAAAGACCCAACGTAAACAACTGGAAGGGAATTCAATATTCTATCATATGATTCGACAGCTCTAGCTATTTCAAAGTGGCTTCGAAAGTCAATATCAATGATCAAACGCTCAGAACTTCCAGTGTCATTGCAATTGACAACGTCAATATATTCATGATCCCCTGCATATTAAGTAAAGTAAGTTTAATATGCCAGAATGAACAAGGTACATATAGAATTTTTCCTTATTGCCTTATATTTTTTTATTCAAGAGGCAGGAAAAGCAAACCTAGGAGTTCCAATCTAAAGATGCAAACTAAAGAAAAGAAAATTTGCTACACTATGTTGAGCAGATGCCCCCAAGTCCACAACATCACTTTTGGATGTCAAAGTATGCTAAAAGGATGCAAATAAAATTCCGTATGGGGTCCAATGTTGCCTATAAACTTGCAGTTAGGATCAGATGAAAACAGAATTTCTTGTGATGCAACAAATGAGGCAATTTTTGTTGTCTACTATGCTCACACTATCCAGAAAATTATAAACTATGGTACTTGTCCTCTTACATCTCTGAGTGGTCTTAGATAAACTTTTTGACATAAAAGAATGTGGCGATAAGCTTAATGAAATCAATGGCATACCTCCAGGGACTTTCCCGCTAGCCTGCCACCTAGATGCACAAACAGCAGCATCATAACCAGAAAGCCTCAGAAGCTTCACCAGAGAAAACCTGATGCAGCTAGCATTACAAGGAACCGACTTGACAAGGTGCAGGTCCGTCTCATTGATAGATAGCATAAGAGAATTAACCGCTGACACCACCTCACTCTCATGCTGATCCATGGAGAGCTTGTTATACTGCAAAAATGAATATTAACAGAAAGATATTAGCATTACTAAAGTTACTTCCCCCCTTTCTTCATCCATTTTTTTTTTTTTTTTCTTGGTGTGGGGTTTGTGCTGGAGAGGTTAGGACCTCAGAACTGAATATGAAATAAATTCAAAATTCAGTGGCTCAGAACTATGCAGATAAAACAACAATTAGACTTCATTGAAATAAATGGGGTATCATACATGAACCTTAAAAGGGCAGTCCTTACAAATGAGAGAGAAATTCTCTCTTTTTTTTTATTTCTTCACAAGGAATAGGGGATGTGGATGAGCTCCTTTAGAGACTCAAATCCAAGCATGTGCTCTTACCACCAATATACATTGCCAGCTAAGCTAGTTGACATCTTTAAGAGAAGGAAATATAAAAAAACTACATTCTTAGGATGACTTCGTGCATTTGAAATATATATATATATATGCAAAAATCTACAGTGGGTTCAAAAAAATTTAGGAGCCCATCAATTATAATATTCTCAATGGACTATCATGTGCTGCTAGGTTATTGGGTACAATATAAACTTTCCATCATGTTCAAATTATTATGTCGGATAATTCACAATTGTCATATAGTGTAAATTCTTACCAAAGAGAAAGATAGACGCACTAAATATACTCATAATGGAAGCAGTATATATAAGTTCTACATTTAATAAGATACCAAAAAACTAAAGCAGGACACTAGCAAATTAAGAACGGTAAACTTGTTCCCACCCCGTCAACTGCACCTTTTCTTTATGAGACATCAAATTAAGCAACCATTTATTTGCCATCAGGTAAGATGTGTCTTTCAGAATGAAATACAGAATACATTTCTACAGAACATTGCATTATCAACATACAGAGTACTTCGACCACCCTTAAAGCTAATTTTTTTTTCATTCTTTGCTCATTTATTCATTTAATAACTTTGAATCACAAACCCGCTGAAAGTTGGAACCCAGAGAATCAGGCATCAGATAAACTTAAGACATGAAGGCTCAGAACACACCCCGACATTCATAGCCTGAGGGAAGTCATGTTAACAAAGGAAAAAAAGCCCTCTCATACCCCAAGGACAGTGGAGGAGAAAAAAAGAACAAATTAGGCAAGACTAAAAATATGACTCAAACAATTCAATCACCTTTTGGATCACTGAAAGGGAAATAATGTCCATTTGACTTAGGATACCAGGACACCAGATAAGATTTGAGAGACAGCATACAAACATAAGAGAAAGCCATTTCACAGCACCAAGAATAGTTTCATCTAACCATGAAAGCACAACATTAAACAAAATTCCGGCACCACAACTCCTTTAATATATTGCCCCTTTTTTCATTTTGAGCCTAAAGAGGGAGAAGGACACAAGCAAAAGCATATGTTCATAAAAGTAGTCTTCTCATACACTCCCACGACTAGAACAAACGGTGACTGAGTTCTATACTCCATTTCCTGAACTTTGCAATGCACGGTTAATGAAACAAATTACCAAACCTAGAAAACTTATCAAAAATAATAATATTGATTTAAAATAAAAATTATGAAAAAAAAAAAAAAACACAAACACACACTCAAGCGACATCAATGCTAGAACTTATAACACATCCTTAATGGGACCCTAGACTCTGGCCAGAGTGGCAGCAGGGAAAGCAAAGCACTCTTAAAATCAGGTTCAGTCTCTCAGAGTCAATTAATGTGGGAAGCTAATCGTTTTGGGGTTCTTTCAAATTTCTAAGTTCCACTGTAAGTTTCTCAATTAGGAATTCTTGAGACAAAGGACTTTGTGATTCAGCTGGAGAGAGATCAGCCCATAATGCAACAATATAACAGGTTTCGCATGCAATTACTGCAAAGCACTCTTAAACTCAGGTTCAGTCTCTCAGAGTCAATTAATGTGGGAAGCTAATCTTTTTGGGGTTCTTTCAAATTTCTAAGTTCCACTGTAAGTTTCTCAATTAGGAATTCTTGAGACAAAGGACTTTGTGATTCAGCTGGAGAGAGATCAGCCCATAATGCAACAATATAACAGGTTTCGCATGCAATTACTGCAAGAGGACTGTTTACTGTTCTTCTGAAATTATTTTACAGCTGATTAATTTGACCTCTACTTCTACAAGTATAATGGTAAATCAACCATAATCTCTCAAAAATGAACAGTGAAACATGTCTTTCAAGGAAGTACAACTAAACACAGTGATGAACATTCAGGGCCAAATTGAATTTTAATAAATAAATAAATAAATAATCATTATTTCAATTTATACCGAAAATTGCAAAAACGGAAAACAAAAATATATACCCATCTTTGGACTAGATTGAAAACGTTCATAGTTTCCAAAAACAGCCGAATTGAAGAAATTTTTATGACAATTATTCAATAGACCCACCACACATGATTTTTCTCATCACTTCCATTATTAAGCTTTCAAGAACAGCAAACAGTAGCCCAAAAGAGAAATATACAGAGTCCTTGAAATCCAATGATAAGCTGAAAAACTATAATTTCGAAAAATTCACAGTTCACACAGGAAACATTTCAATGATTCACACAATTATATGAAAGGATAAATACATTTCCAAAAGCGTCATAAATAATTTGAATTCTAGAGAGAGAGTCTGGGTGGAGAAACTAACCGAAATCTTGTTGGCTAGATGAGCAAGGTCGCAAAACCCGGAATCGCTGTCGCTGCTACACCACGATTCGGCACCAGCACTTTCATTCTCCAAAAAATCACTGACCATAACAGCCAAGTCATGCTCGCTCTCATGGCTGAAACCACCTCTCTGAGCCATATATTGACCACCTCCACCACCGCCGGCCACTCTCAACCACAAGTCTCCGCTCGCCGAACAAACTCGACAATCCATAACAAACACCCAAAAATTCCCAATCTCACCTCCACCGTCCGATCACAAGAAGAACCCAGACAATCAATGTTCAAAATTCACCATCTTTTCAACACGAAACAATAGCAAAAATCCCCCATTCTCGAAAACGCTAGATTTATAAACCCTAATTGAACTCAACTCCTGTAATTGTATTTGTATACAAAACAATCAAATTGTTCGATTTTATTAGCTATAATGTAAAGAACAGAGTCGTATGAATCAAATTATATTCTTTAATTATGTATAATTAACACGAAAAAATGAATGAAATAGACTGAATCATTCGATTTTATTCAAAGAATTAAAAAAGAAACACCATATAAATCCATAAATTTGCTGAAATTGTACTGAATTTTTGGTGTTTGAATTGGTATTTTGGTGATCCAAATGGGTGAGAATGAGGAAAGAGATCAATTTTGATTTCTGCAACCCAAAGGATGAAGAAGAAAGCAACCGGAAAATAGAATTTATAGAGAAATCGAAACGTTGTGAAATGACAATAATGGTCTTGAATGTGGTCATAATGACCACAGAGGTAATTGTTACTTTAACCGAAATTTACGAGATATTAGATAAGGTAAAAATTGAATTTGGATGGAAAAGAGCGGTAAATTCGTTTTGTGCCTGGTTTCAGAAGGTTGTTTATTGTATCTAAATAATGTTGAAATAAATGTGATTCAATGTATATGGCTAGAAATTGAAGCAACAAATTTCTCTCTTCAAAAACGAGAAATTCTCTCTCAAAAATTTTGAGCCCGTGTAATAATATCTTTAGTACTTGTTTTTGTAATGAAACATTAGACATGTAAACATGTTTTAGAGAAAAAAAAAGTGTTGGCAATATTTATATATACATATAAATAGTATTTACAATATATTAGTTTTTTATAATACACATAAATAAATAAATAAAAAGTGAATGAATTTGAATTTTTGTTTTTTTAATTTTGGCTTTAGGATTTGGAGCATTTTTAAAAAATAGACGTGTAAAATTTAGAGCCACTAGAGATTTACTCGGTCGTTAACTTCAGAGCCTCGTAAGATTAGTCGAGGTACACGCAAGTTGGACTAGACACCTATAATTATCAAAATAAATAAATAAATAAATTGACATGTAAAATGTAACAAGGTGTAATGAACGGGTTTGGTTCCTTATTTTAGTTTATTTATTTATTTATTTGATAACAAAAATAGAAAATAAAAATGATTAACAAAACAAATCATTAGATGATATAGTGTCTTAATATTGTAACTATCAAAACATTCCCAAAAATATATTTATATGATATCCAATTACATTGATCATTTACCTACACTTTCATTGTTCATAATATAAAACTTTCTTTTATATATATATAAAGAGAGAGAGAGAGAGAGAGAAACAAAAATTTATTAAATATAATCGTATGATTAGTGTAACATTTTTATTAAATTTCATAGACAATGGACCTTTTTTCTGTTCCTGGTGAGTACAAAGAATTGGTCCTTATTGTTAACTCTCATTAATTAATATGACCCTATTAAAACAGTTAATTTATTGATAAAAAGTTAAAAAAATAATCTTAGGATTGTAAAAAATGTGGTAAATGTCTCTGTCATTTGATAACGAAGCTATATAGTGACATTGTTATATAGTGGTGATATAAGGAAAATGTCTCAATCATTGACCATTATTTTGCCTTCTCTGACGGTTTAAAAATCTTATTAATCCAAAAGGTGTCAATAAAACCAAGTGAGAGGGGCATAATGGTAATTTTTAGGTCGCGAGAAATTAGTAATAAATTATATAAGGGGCAAAACGCAAATTGAGTCAAGAAGTAACTGTCAGGGCTAGAATAGTGATGACGTGACGGGCAAGGCAACATCCCTCGGTGAAGTCAACATTAGAATTAGTCGAGTATTACTCTAAAAAATCTTGTGATGATCCACACTACAATTAAAAACATTAAATTCAATACTTACAGACCTTTTATTTGCTTAACTTAGAAGACTAAAAAAAATTTATTTCATTTGATTTTTTGCAGCTTTTTTAAGGTAGCACAATGATGTGTCTAAGTCACGTAAGAGCAAGTAGAGACAAATTCATAAATTATGTGCAGAGGACAATAATAAAGTTATTTTGTAATTTTAGTGAGAGCAATTTTAAAATTACAAAGGTGTAAAAAAATAATAATAATAAAAAAAAAAAAAAAAATCAGTAATCACATCTTAACAAAAAAAATCAGTGGGGGCGATTGCCCCCGGACATATGTATAGATTGGCCCCAGTAACATATGTATAGGTCCAATCATGGGAACGAGGTCCAATAATGGGAACGAGAACGCGAAGACGACAAAATTTAATCACACAAAATAATAATGGGAGCAATAGTGAGGGTAGAGCGTAAGAGCGAGAATGCCTTTAGAGCGTAATAGCATCACCAGTTGAGAATGATTATTTGATTTTGGTTATGTCTTCAATTTGTAAAAGTGAGTTAAAGTTAAACTTCTTGAATGAAAAAATTACTTGTCCCAAAAAATAAATAAATATTTTAATATTTATTTTGGAGTTGGTATTTTGCAGAAGAATATGTTTTCGGTGAATTTGACACATAATACAGCTTTATATGGAATTGTTCAAAGGGCAAATAATCTGTCTATGGTCTCTTACTCGGGTTTGATTTAAAATGATAAATAAAACTTTAAAATTGTTTACATTCAGTTTTAAAGTATTAGTCTATTAAGAGAGAGAAAGGAGGAAAAAAAAAAAAAATTACTCCTTTCGTCCTAAAAGAATGAGATAATTTTTAAGATGGACAATTATTTTAAAACAAATGGAATATAATACTTGAAGGGCGTGAGATGTGAGCAAAACTTAATTATAATAGTTAGATTCAATTATTATTTCTTTAAATTCATAAATTATATAATTACTATCGAAGCATGTAATAAAAAGTTCAAATCCCACTAAGAAAACAAAAATGTAGTGTAAATATCTAAGAAATTAAAGAAGTAAGTACTCATTTCTTCTCTTTCTTTGCTTCTTTACTTTTAAACTAACCCTTCCTTTACACAAAGGAAATCAAATCTTTAAAAGTATTATTACGTAAATCAAGAGCATAATTGGTTAAATTATGAGTAATGGTACAATGTTTGAATAATTTTTTTAACAATTTCAACAAGTCTCGACTCTTACACAATAATTAATAAAATATATTTTATCTTCTCTTACCGTGTTTCAATTAATGTTTGACACGTCAGTCAGTTTTAATTTACTTTTTTATTACATTTTTATCATTTTTCTTAAACTATTAATTGTGATAGATATGTACGTTGAATTATGGATATTTAATGAAACAATTGTAAAGTCCATTATTGACGCAGACGCGTCTCGTGGCAGTCCATGGTGGGCCATGGAGTGGAGCAATATGATTTTCTTTCTTTAAAGAGAGGATGAATGAGAGACCTCCAGATTCATGCAATTAATCCAAGCCTTAAAAAAGAAGATAAAACCCAAGTAATCTATTAAATGGTCGGTCTGCCAATCATGACTCTCGATAATCCTTTTATTTATTTTATTTATTTATTTTTATGCCTAAATAAATAAATACCTGTGTTAGTTGAACCAAAAACCACTAGAATTTCCAATCAATTGTCTATCTTTTGATTTTGATGCAGATTGTTGTTGCTATTGATTTTATGATATTTCTTTTATTATTTAATTTTGATTAATTGAAATAAACAGAAATATGGCAAATTAGATGAAGTGGCATGGAAATATGGAATAATTTCATCTTAATATAATTAAATGAATTTTTGTTTTTAATGAATTATGTTAAGTATTTATTTATATGGGTAAGGTGTTTGCTAGCATGTGCAGGGCATCAATAGACTACTACACTGGACGAGTTACAGATGCACAATTGAATATAGATGAGGCAAATGTTATATGTAAATTCAACACCTTTCTAACACAAAAAGTCGTGATGACCGTAAAACCACCACAACTCCAAAGTTAAGCCTATTTAATCTAGAATAATATCAAGATGGGTGACCCATGAAAAGTCTTTGGTCCAAAAGAGCCAAAAGTGAATAATATTGTGTCTGGACGGGTAAAAGTCGTTACAAATGGTATCACCCACTTACATATTAAATTGCACTAATTATTTAATTATATATATATATATATATATATATATTTAAAAATACACTAATTATTTTTTTTTTAAAGTTAATTAAGCTTTGATTTGATTGACCCAAGCCAAACAAAGCTTGCTTTATAAAATGGTCCCCAGCTTTATAAAATGGTCCCCCAACTATTCTAGTCATTGTACCTAATTCCTTTTTGCAAATATAATAGGTTCTTGTAGTCATCAAAGTAATCAGAACCACAATTGTTTAATAAAATATCAAGAGATCCGAACACCTCATTCATGGTTGTCGGACAAAGGCAAATATATTAGCGTAACAAAACAAATAATCACAAGCTGTTCTAGGATTGGAACCATTCCAAGAAAATGATTGTTGACAAAGTTAAGGATCATTTTTAAATCGTTACATATATATATATATTCATAATTTGCTACCTATTTTATTCCCAATATGCTTAATCTAATGATTGATCAATTTTTTACTAATCCAACAATCTCAATTTTTTTTTTTTTTTTTTTTTTTTGTTAAAGTAAAGACGCACATAGCACAAATGCCTCGTAATGAGCTAAAACTCTTTGTTTGTTGAGAACAAAAATATTTGTGGAGTAGTACTACTTTGATCGAAGATTTCAATTTGAATTTTTGACCGAACACAATTTATTAATGAGGTATAAGAAAGTATATATCTCACTTTCTTATATTCTTACATCTTCAACGATAATCTTTGACGAGACATTTAGGTTAAAGTGGTCGAAGTTAAAAAGCATTTTCCATACTTTATCCGTGCATGGTCTGTGCTAATAAGAGGCATCTCTGTGTGCATCATCTTGGACCATAAGTAGAGACATGTTAAACCATTACAGCCTATAAGTGAGGTCCAAGGGGACCAGATTATGGACAGAGCATACAACTTTTTATACCACAAATAAGATATATATATATACACATTCAAAAGGATAGAAGTAGGAATCTAATAATTGCAATTCTAGTGAGAATCTAAGAATTGCAAAGGTGTACTCGAAAAACGTTTTTATTTAATTCTGAATATATAGATATACTATAGAAACTGGTTTTCATTTTAGATGGTCCTAAAGGCCAAAGAAATTGAAGAATAAGTTGGGAAATCACAGCTTTCACTTGGGAACCTTTAAGTCAAATACATAATTTTAAGGTGTATAAAAAGCATACTGTTTTTTATTTTTTTAAGAATTGAAAATTAAAAAATTATACAAAAATAGGCCTGCATGGTTTGTAATTCACAATTTTGTATTTTCAGATAACGAAAATCAGAAAACTGTACAAAGATTCAGTTTGG